TTGTTGCAATTGACCGGCAATTTTCCTCATGAAGGCAACTCTGTAAATTTGTGTTTTTTATAATTACAATTTTTTATGACATTTTTGGACAATGTGATTTTCGTTTATAATCTTTAAAGTACTATAATAATAGCATATAATGAAAATATACACATATTATTTAAAAATTTTGTTTCAAAAAATTAAAAATCATTTAACTAATTTGAATATCAATGGTATAGCGAAAAATTTTATTTCTATCGAAAATCAAAAAGATACAAAGCTTTGCACAAAAAGATATACATATATACACAATAGATATAATATAAATATTTATTCAGTATTTAATTGAAAATACAATGATACATATTATATTACTGTTATTTATGGCCGGATTATTATATTATTTAGTTAATATTTTTATATTAGGCTACACTGGTATTTGTCTTTAAATAGAAATAAAAATATATACTTTTTTATTTTATTATTTACACTACGTTGGTTTTTGGTAGCATTTTCAAAAGTATCTGAAATTTTTATTATATTTATAATTTTAAAATAAAAATTAAAGCGATGAAAATTTTTATAATAACATATAATATAATTTTTATAACAATTATAAATAAAAACTTAAAATACTATATATGTAATCATATTCATATTTGTTTTAATCAAAAAATTTTTTTTCTAATTTTTTTTGGTTTTTTTAAAAAACAAAGCAAATGTTTTTTTGACAATAAAAAGAAAAAATATTTGTTTCTTGAGTAATTATAAATCACATTATAAGTTTATATACAATATAAAATCTATATATGTAAATATTTTCAAATAGTTGTTTGTTTGTTATATATTTGAAATGTTACAAATTTTTATATGAAAAGTTATAAACAATTTATTAAAAATATTGACTGCTTAAAAGAATTTGTAAACATGTATTTAGTATCAATTTGATTATATAAATTGCAAATTTTAAAAATTTGATTCAATTTTATTTAAAATGTAAAAGTCGATATATAGATAGAGGTTAAATACTTTTCTGTCAAATTCTTACATATTATTTAATAAAAGATTTGAACATTTTTTATATATATTTTCTTTTGGTGTATTTTTTTTGATAATAGAATTCCATAATTTCTTATATGTATTTTCTTTCAATGTTGTCGTATAATTTTAAAAATGTAAAAGCATCATATTATTTTCTTTTAAATACAAACAGTAATAAATACAAATAATAATATAAACATTTTTCTATACAATTTTCATATATAGTTGTTTTAAATTTGATCATACCATTTAAAAACATTCTTGATAGACTTAAGTCAGATGTTATAAATTTGGTTCTCATATAAAAATATTAAAAATGAAAATTGGTTACTTTAGTTCTAATGAAAAACCTTGAAAAAATAATTTATTAATAATTTAATACATCTTTTGATTCTAAAGTCAATTTTGGAGTACAGTATAGCGGGCAATATGTTGCTGGAAGATCTTCTTTAAATAAATGTTACCCAAATAGGGTTTTATTTACTAAAATATTGTAGTTATTGAATAAGCGAGGGCTGATTTTAAGGTCTGTTTAAAGTTACTTGTAAAATAACATTTATGGTAAAATACATTTATTATTATAGCTTGTTTATCAAGTTTTGGATAACATAATTAAAATTTATCAATAAAAGATTAAATATTTTATTTAGGTATACATATTCAAAGTTCTTAACTAGTGTATTCTTTGCTTTGACACAGACTCGTATATTAATATAAAAATCACTAACACAAACAAAAATTTTATATTAACATGTAAATGATTGCCCTATTAAATCATGCACAGCATAAAAAGTTCTTACATCACTAATCTCAACTGCCCACAACAAGTAACCATAGTTAGTAGAAAAGAATAAAATCTGCAGTGTTTCCTGTTATTTTACAGTATTTATGCGTTTACATATAAGTTTGCTAATATACTTGTATACATATGTACTCAAAATCGACCTTGATTTTATACGAAAAGCAAGAAAAAAAAATTTTACAACATATTTCTTCAGGTGAAATTGTAAAAACAAAATTCTTCAGGGTCAAATTTAGTAGCAGCAACAACCGCAATCTACAATTTAGAGCAGCCGCACCAGCAACTTTATACATCAATTTTTTTTTTGCGTTGAATTTTTTTTTAAATATTTCTTCTGTTTTATTGTTGTTTTATAGTCAATATTGCAAAATACTGAAATCAGTTTTTTTTTCCTCTTAATTTAATTCAATCAAACCTTTCATTTAAAACAAAAATATAATAATAAACGAAATGTGACAGCAGCCAAAAAGAGGCTGCAGAGGCATCTTCGGCTGAATCTGTTGCTGCGGCTGCGGCTGCTGACGTTAAAAATTTTAAGTATATATTTTATTTGAATACTGTGCCTGTTACACTACCACATTGGTGTTTCTTACTTTTGAATAATAGCGATCTTCATTATTAAATCAAAACTAATTTATGCCAAAATTAATGTTCATGTAAAAAATATCATGAAAGATGTTTTAAAAGTAAAAAAGTTGAGAAAAATAAAAACCATACGATATGTGGAAATAATACGATTTTCAAACTAATTTCATATAAAATTTACTGCAAAACAACAACAAAACTGTTAACCAATTCCTAATCTCACGTTGCTGCAAAAGCTTTACATATATGAAGCTGACACACACGCATACACACACACGCACGCACAAACACACACACACACACATATAACTCATTCACTTCAAACTAATGCAGCATAAAATAATTTGTTAAACAAAAAAAAAAAAAAACTAATGAAATCAAATAAAATGATATTAGGTGAGATCGATTTGGTAAAAATATGGGCTATTGTATATGTCATAGACCAAAGCAAACACTCACAAAAATAAACTGAAATATTTTTTGGTGAATTTTTTTTAACATTATTGAGGTATAAAATTTTTTATATATTTTAATTTTTAGTTTTACGAAAAATAAGAAGTTAGTTTTTCTGGACTCTTTTATGAGATTCATTTGGTTATTAAGTTGTAAGTTTATATAAATTATTCTTGCGAAAAATATTTTATTTTCTTAGTTCTTAATCGGTTATTAATACTCATTTACATATGATTATATACGGAGTTGCAAAGTCACTCATTGTAAAAAAATCATTAATTATATGTAATTGAACTGGTTTCTTAAATTTTGTTAGGCTTTATTAACTTTCTTACGTCCTTACACAAAATTATGTATGTTTTTTTTAATGAATATAAATAATTAATTGTTTTAATAAATACTTTAATTAAATTGTATAAATAATAATCCAGTCATGGCGTAGAGGGAGATTATGAAGAAACCTCGCAGTTAATAGAGAGTAAAATCGCTCAAGTGCACTGACTCAACAAGCCTCAACATAATTAACTTTATTCTCTCCCAGAACCTCTTTCGTATTACTTACGAGAGGGTATCTTTTATAGCTGGTTTTGATTTCCAAATTGCGACTAGACTTTTTCACCCATATATGGACATATTAATATAAAAAATATTAAAATATACATCAAAAAAATAAAATATATTAAAAAATATATGTACATATATATTAACAGAAATAATAAATACATACTTACATTCATAAGTGAACAAAAGTTATTTTTAAAAACATTATATATTAATATTAATTATTAATCTAGTTCTATTTTCATATAAATATATATTATTATTATTATTATTATTATTATTATTATTATTATTATTATTATTATTATTATTATTATTATTAGTATTATTATTATTATTATTATTATTATTATTATTATTATTATTATTATTATTATTATTATTATTATTATTATTATATATTATTATTAATTATTAACCGAGTTCTATCTTCACGAAAACTAACGTCGAATACTTATTTAACATAAAATATTTCTAGTATTGTTGGTGGTTTGCTCTACCGTACGTATTTAAAATTTAATAACATTTGAATAAAGTTAAAAAAAATGCCACCTACAAATAGTACAATTTAAAATTTCCCCCTCCAACAAAATATTTGCACTTACCTGTTGACACTATCAAATTAAGTTAGCAGAAATTGCTGCCAGAATAAAAATAATCAAAATAAATAAACAAATAAATGTTTGTAAAAAAAAAATCAAGTTAATCAGTCAATTTGATTGCAGTGGCTGTGTCAGTGCTGTTGTAGCATTATTATGGCGTATTACGATACCTCATGGAGGCTCAGCGCCGTTATGCTGTTGTTGTTGCTGGTATTTTTGTTGTTAGTCTCGTTGTTGTTTTTGTTGATAGTTTTGTTATTATTTGTTTTTAGATAAGAGTTTTTATCGCGTTCACAAAGCCAAAGACACTTGAAAGCAAGGTGAGCGAATACAAGGGATGGTTTATTATGGCGCTGTAGTAATGTAGTGAAGAACAGTGTCATAATGAGTGCGTTGCTTCGACAGCTGGTAAGACAAATCGGCACATTACGATAATTAAATCGAGCATGTGATCGTTATAAACTGTACACACCACAATACAATTATACGACCGGGTATCGAATACTCGAACATATCATTCACTGCTGGTACAAATACACTGTGTCAAACGACAAATACACAAATTTATGAATAATAGTTGCAGTGGTAATGTCCGTTCGTATTGTTGTTGTTGCTATCGTAGCTGCAGTTGAAATATTTTTGCGTTTATAAGAAATGTTGTAATCAATGCGTACTTCTTACACGAGGACAGATCCGAAGCTTGTGCCGTAATTTGCAAAAAAACAAAGAAATAATTTTTTTTTGTTTCAATATTTATTTTTCTATTTTTGTCAATTTAATTGTTTAACAAATTTTTATAGCCAAAAGTAATTTAGCAAAGAGAAATACCAATAATGTGTCAATTGGTCTTGAAAAATATATGAATTTTTATTATATAAATTAAAAAATATTTTATACATATAATGGTGGAATGTGTATTGATAACTTGTTAAAAACATGTTTCTGTGAAAAGAATCAAAAATATTCAAAAAAAAAAAATGTGTAAAAATTTAATACAACCACAAAAAGTGCATAACCTATGATATATAAAAATCTGTGAAGTTGTATGAAAATGTCTTCAACAATATATAAAACATATCACATGCCTGTAAGTGTCTCCTTAAAAAATTATAAAAGAAATCACAAAAATAAAAAAAGAAACAAATTTGTTTAGAAATGGAAAAAGCATTAACACCCTTGGTATAGATTGCAAAGTTATGAGTGATATATATATATATACATAAGACCATTTCCACTATATGCTCGGTTAAAATGTAGTCCATACCAGAACTATTCTAATACAAGTGGACAGGTAGTGCAATGATTCGATTTATCGAGCTTAAGCATGTCTATGACATATTTAGGTTATTGCAAATGAGTATAGATATTTTTTACAAAAGTGTAAAGAATTTAAAAATAAATTGATCTAAATGTAATATTCTAATCCTTTCTCCGACAAAAAATATTACAAAAATTTATAATTAGAATATGCACGAATGTAATGTTATGCATGGATTTTTAATAATTTTATATTTGGTTAATTATATAGAAATTCAGAATAATATTATAGTCACATCTAATTCATATATGTACTTCACAAAATGTTGCTTCGAAAGGTATATATTTTTTATAATTATTATTATTATTTCATATGACATATGAAATTATTTATCATATAAATAATAATAATAGTTATTTCATATTTGTATTGTAGCAATACCGTTTCAATAACATATGTGAAACAGTATTGTCATTCAAGGCATCAAATTATAAGTTAAGGTTTTCCATTTTATAAAATAGATCACGCAATGTGAAGAACCTATATTGTATACTCTGTACACAATACAGTGCAGAATTTGGTCTGGACGATAGGCTTATACTTTATTAAAAATGAAAAAAGAATTTGGCCTGGACGATAGGCTTATACTTCATTAAAAATGAACACAAACCTCAAATTATTTATATTGATTTGTTAATTTTTGATCACGATTTTTAATTTGTTAATGTTACTCGTACAATATCTCACATTTAATGACAAACTAAAAACAAGAGTTTAAAATAAGCAGTTTAAGGCATAACTATTTTTATACTTAAAAATTGATATAAAGATGAAGCAAACATATCTTGAAATATATTTCCATATATATTTATTAAAAATATGCTAACAGAAGCAATCCTACAATATGAGTCATACAATTAGAAGCTTTTATTGTAAAAAGCAATTAAATATGATAAGAATTATTGGGAATAGTTAATTTAATTGGCATCATATTTAAACACTATAAGAATTATAAGAATATTTCTCATAATATACATCATATATATAATTTATGTTCAGAAATTAATTTGTCTACTTAATCTGTAGTTCAAAAATTGTGTCATTATTTTCAGGTCAAAACAGATTGGCCGAACATTAACACTAAAAAATGTTTATCGTAATATTGATTAAATTATCTCCGACATTTTCTTATTATGTGCCAAACAGCATAAATTCACAGTAGCGTGAAATTTACGTTTCTGTTGATATTTGGATATATGGAATATTTTTGCTTTAATAAGGTTAAACTATAATAAAGATTTCTCAATCCTTTATTGGCTTATTTTTTGAACGTTTTATCAATCAAAGTATTAATAATAGTAAAGACGGTGTTAGTGAGTCAAAAAAGCTAATAGTCATTTTTGCAAACTGTCTTTGCAAACAGATATAATCATACATTTTGTTTCAGCAGTATTCATCTAAAAGGCCTGTATTAAGTGAGATTTTAGTTTGAACTCCTCTGATTTTAGATACTTAATATCAATCCGACAACCCACAAGTATATGTTTTTTATTATTTACTTATGGAATAGAATTTTAACTATGTCTGCTTGTTCCTGTTTTATAGGTAAAGGAATGTCATTTAATGATAATTCAGAAGATTAATATATATTAATAATTAATATATAACAAATATATAATTATTATAATATATAATTAATACATACTAATTAATTTTATATTAATAATATTAATATATATTTAATTAGTGAAACTTGTACAAAATTAATAACTTACTATAATTATCTTTCTTCAATAGGAATTATGATGTTTTATTTTAGCAAATCTGTAATTATTATAAGATCTTGGAAACCATTTTAAACTAAACATTAATTATTATTTACGATATGCCTTGAGTTTATTAATTTTTTGATTTCTTCTTAAAGTTATACAGCAGATTTTATGATTCTTATTTACAAATAAGACTGATTAGTATGATTATATATTAATATGTTATATATATTTATATATTAACATGATATAGATCATCATCATTTATAAACTTTTCATTACCCTTTTCATTTACCATTTCACTGACGCTAACTAAAACAAGTTCTAAGTACATAAATTAGACTACTACAATATAAAGAAAATTTGGCAAGGCTACTAATGAGTGCATTCATTAGAAAATAGTAGTATGTTTACGAAGGCGCTCCAGAGAATCTGCTAAATAAAATATTTTATTATGTTGTGTGAATTTGTTTTAATATTAAAAAAGTAAGAGTAATTAATATACAGTTATGTAATTTACAACATATTCTGTTTCAAAATTGTCACTTGGAAGCAATAAAGTTAGCATAATAAAACAAACAAAGCTTTTTCCCATAACTTATTGCTGTGCTTTGTAAAGTAACAAAATCAATGTACATATTATGGTTCAAAATTGGGCAATCAGCAATTACCCGGAAATATAAATGGATTGTTTATATTTTACATAGGCTGGCAGAAGTTATCACTAAAAAAATTATTGGGCGTTATAGCAACAGAAGATCCAATCGTAAACGCAACCAATTGAAGAGGCAAATTAAATTAGAACCAGAAGCGAGTTAAGTGATTAAAGCTTACCAGAGTTTTCAATGGGACTCTATGTTCCTTATTGAAATTTTATTAATTAAATAAATATCATAAATCATAATTTATAATAATATCTTTAATTACATTCAAATATAAAATAATTGTAAATATATTGTAATAGATATATATAAAACGATATTTTTTACTGAAATAATGAAGCAATCTAAATATTTTGTAACTCCAATACGATAACTGCAGATAGCAGTTAAAATTAAATTATGAAATAATTAAAATCTATATTAATGTTGAATACAAAATGATCATTTGTAAATATTAGCACCTTGTGTTTTGTTATAAGATCGGCTTATTTGACCTTCTCGAAACCTATTCACATGTTCATTAATCCCAGTTTATAAAAAAATATTCAATTGACAACTTTTAAAGGCTGAGTTGGTATAGCCAAATCAAAGTTCAATATTCATCTTAAAGATTTATTATTAGTTAAAAATTTAGTATGGGAGGCAATATTTATATATAGTTAGATTCATTTAGTAAAGATAAAACTCAAGGCTTAATAGTTCTTAAAAGTGTTGTTACCAACTTTCAATTAATAAAATTTATGTGTGTTTATTAACGTTAATTTTGTTGTTATTTTGATGTTTAATAAATCAAAGGTAATCAATTTAGTTTGACTTTATTTGAATTTTTTTTAATTTTACAACTAAACGAAAAACTAGATTCGTTATAAAAGCGTAGACAATAAAAACACTTCGTCAACTTAAACGCATGAAACACAAAAGAAAGCATTGAATTAGGTGAATCAGCAATTTTTATCTAGACACTCGGCTTTGGTTTTTTTAAATTAATTATTTTTTTTTTTTGAACAAATTAAATATTGTATCTAAATTACTGTCTCGTGCAATTTGTTTTCAGTAAAGTTTGAAATTATTTTAGATACTCACACAAAACATTTGTTGCCGAGTAATAAGATTTGTTTTCTAAGCTTGGCTCATTTGGGTTTCTACTTATGGTTGCTTCTATCAAGTATCTGCAGGTGGGCACTTAAGTTCAACTTAGACTTTGGGGGGTGCAAACAATGAGGTCTCATAGGTGTTTGTTTTGATAGATTGGTTAGTTTATGTATGCTTAGTTTATGTATCTAGTATTTGTAACAGGTGAAAGAGTTTGTGTTTCGAAGGTCATTTGTAGGAAGCTTAAGCACCAGTGTAAATGTGCCAATAAATGTTTTAAATTAAACACATTTGTTTACGTCAAGTATATTACTGTTATATGTCAGCAGTTATTAAAAGTTTTATGATACAAAAGTGTGATTTCTAGTGTTTCGCTGAAAAATTGTAAATGAAGCTCTTTTATATTTATATTTAACAGAGTTTAAAGTTCCATAAACTCGTGCAAATTGTTTTGTCTTGAAACAATTACCATTTTTAGTGCCTATAATTAAAATTTATGAATTGTGCTCGAGTTAAAAAAATAAATCATTTTTATGGTACAGTGGCTATAGTCATAAGTGCTGCAATGAGTGAACTATGTACATATTCGGTGAGTGGCAGATACATTCTAAGAGCGTGAAGCAATATTTGAAGTATCTTTTTCTTACCACTGTGGATTGTTGGTAACTTACAGTGATTTGCACCAGTTACTTGCAATTTGACTGTTCTCAACAACCAATGCATAAGCAGCGATTGCTTCATAGTAGCACTTGTACTTACTGCAACAGAAGCATTTTAAATTAATTTATTTTTTTTTTTATAGTTTAGTATAAATTGTTTCGAAGTTTTAGTTGCTGTCACTAATTTTGCAGCACGCGTGAGTAATGCCACAATTGAAAGTAAAAACACAAAGAATTACTGAAATTAGAGATACTTTATTTCTTACTTTGCCGGTAAAGTTTATTATTTTGATACTGCAGGTAAAAATTTAATAAACTTAAAAGCTTACTCAGATTAAAGTTTTATTCCTATAAACTGAAATTATATTTTAACGACTTTATTAAAAATATTCTTTAATAATAATTTAATAGTTATTATTTTTAATTTGCAATTTAAATTGAAGTTTATTTAAAAACAGATTTTTATCGTAGGTGTTGAAAACTGAACTATTTTAATTGATCACCGATAATAGACGTACTGCATACTTGTAATAAAATATTTTAAAAATTATTGCTTAAATTAACATACCTTTATTAAATTCGTCCTTCAAAGAATGTTATTAACTCTGGTATTTATACCATAAAAGTTAAAAATAAATTTTGTTTTT